GGGACTCTTACACGGTTATTTATGGTACTGCTCAGAGCAACCGGCAAGTAGAATTGCCCCCCAAGCAGTTGCCAGAAAAGACCCAATTACGAATTCAATGTCGAAAAGAAGACACTATCTTGAACTTAGTACCCCTAAGTATACAAAACAGCTGTTGAAAATTTCATATTATTTAATGTATTTTTCCTCGTTCTTGCTTTTTTTATTTCAATGCCCCCTCTTGCATCGCTTTCCTCTTCTCCCGAGCCTTCTCAGAATACCCCCTCTTACGTCACTTCCTCTTGCACGCCCCTCTTCAAGTCACCCGTCTTGCAACATCTTTTTTTCGACGCCCCTTCTTGCATCGCCTCCTCTGTTGCAACGCCCCTTTTTGCATCGCCCCGTGCCTTGCATTACCCTCTCTTGCATCGCCTGCCCTGTTGCAGCGCCCCTTCTAGCATCGCTTCCCTTGTTGCAAAGCCCCGTCTTGTCTCGCCTCCCCTGATTCAACGCCCCTTCTGGATCGCCTCCCCTGCTGCAATGCCCCTTCTTGCATCATTTCTCCTGTTTCAACGCCCCTTTTTGCATCGCCCCGTGTCTTGCATTGCCCTCTCTTGCATTGCCCTCTCTTGCATTGCCCTCTCTTGCATTGCCCTCTCTTGCATTGCCCTCTCTTGCAAAGTCCCGTCTCGCCTCCCCTAATTCAACGCCCCTTCTGGTTCGCCTTCCCTGCTGCAATGCCCCTTGCACCATTTCTCCTGTTTTATCGCCCCTTGGTGCATCGCCTCTCTTCGCGCCGCCCCGCCACCGCCCGCGCCCCACACCCGCCACTTGCGGACACACGTGTGGCAGCGCTCCTGCTTGGCAGCTGCGACGCGGACACGCGCATAAAAGACGTTCGAGACCTGCACCTGAAAGCGCGAAGCTGTGCGGAGGAGGGAGATGGCGTGGACCTAAGTGACGGACGCACGAGGAGATGTAAAGGAACGGGACATTTTTTTTGTAGTTTTGAGCAAGGGCACTTAGAAATTGGCAGTAACACTGCGATTCTCAGAGTAATATGTGTGATTTGTGCAGATGTGAAATCACAATAAGACCACAACATGAACAGAACTACGTATTTACCTATGCCGTAAAGTAGTAATCGGAACTTTCTATTTGTAACAATATCATTACAAGCCTTATCAACGTTTCCTCGGTTTCTGCCTGCCTGTAAGGAAGTGAGTCATGGACAATTGCCATTCATATTATTATTACATGTTGCTGTTGTCATCATAGTACACTATTATATCTATATTGTGACGGACTCAATAACAGTCGTTTATATTAGGATATCTGTAATAGTAAAGTGAAAACCAGATCTCGGTAAATTCTTTACCCTGCACCCGGACCACGCCCCTTTCGCGGGTCGCCAACCCCGGGTGTCAAAAGTGTCTGCTTAGAGACCAGCCTCAGTCGGGGGCGACGGCGGCGGCGGCGG